GAGGAGGAAGAGGCTGCGGCCCCCGCGCCCCCCTCGCCGCGGTTCACGGCCTCGGAGCGGGAGGTGTTTGTGGGGACCCCCCCGGCCCCCCCCGAGCCGCTCCCACCACCCGGTGCCTTTTTGGGGCGCGGGGCCGGGCCGGGTGTCACCGCCCCGCTCCGGGGGTCCCCGGGGGTCCTGCCCCCCGCCCCGCAGGAGCCCCCCGGCCACGCCGCGGGGGACCCCGATGCCAAAGTCCCCCCGAGTCCCCCCGCCGCGCCCCCCGAGCCGCAGGAGGACGAGGAGGCCGTGGGGGGGGTCGCTCCCAGCCCCCCGCCCGCTGCGGGGGCTCAGCTGGGGCCCCCCCGCCCTGAGCCCCCCAAACCCCGCCAAGTGCCTCCCGCCGCCCCGGCCCCCGGCCGGGAGCCCCCCCCGGGACCACCCCTCTCCAGGAAGCACCCCGAAGGTAAGAGAGCCCCCCGACCCCCACGGCTCTGGGTCCTGGGTGGGTGCTGCCCACGGGGGGCTTTGGGGGTCCTGGGTGGGCGCTGCCCACGGGGGGCTTTGGGGGTCCTGGGTGGGCGCTGCCCACGGGGAGGTTTGGGGGTCCTGGGTGGGTGCTGCCCACGGGGGGCTTTGGGGGTCCTGGGTGGGCGCTGCCCACGGGGGGGTTTGGGGGTCCTGGGTGGGTGTGCCCACAGGGGGGTTTGGGGGCACCACCAGCTCAGCCCCCTCTTGCCATGGGGTGTTGGGACCAGGGTGGGTCAGGGGAGCTGGGGGGGCCTTTGGGGGGTCCCAGGGAGGGCGATGGGGGAGCAGGCAGGGCTGAGCCCCAGAGGGGTTTTGGGGACCCCCGCTCAGCCCCTGTGCCCTCGCAGCCCCCCAGCGCTCCCCGCAGAAGGAGCCGGAGCCCCGGGGCCGGGCGGGGGTCCCGGGGCCGGGGGCGGGCCGGGCGCCCCCCCGGGGGTCTCTGCAGTCGGAGTCGAGCTCGTCCAGCGAGGCCGAGGCCCCCCGGCGCCCCCCGGCCCCCCAGCGCTGCCAGCCCAACCACCGAGGTGAGGGGGGTCCCGGGGGTGCCTTCGGGGGGTCCGGGGAGCCCCTCTGAGCGCCCCCCCCTCCGCGCAGGGTCCGGGAACGAGTCCGAGAGCAACGACGAGTCCATCCCGGAGCTGGAGGAGCCCGAGGGCTCGGAGCTGCCCCCCGCCCAGCCCCAGGTGGGCTCTGGGGGCTCGGGGGGGTGGGGACCCCCGGGCCCGGGGCTCGCTGACCCCCCCCTCTCGCAGGTGCCCCTCGGCCACGCGCTGGGCCCCGGCGAGGAGCCGCTCAGCAAAGCCAAGCAGAGCCGCAGCGAGAAGAAGGCCCGGAAGGTCGGGGGGTCCCTGGGGTGCCCCTGGGGGTTGGGGTCCCATCACGAGGTTTGGGGAGGGGGGCAGTGCTGGGACTTTGGGGGGGCAGGTCCTCGCTCTGGGAGGGGACTCGGGGGGTCCCCACCGTGGCCTGGGGGTCCCATCCCAGCCACAGCATCCCCCATCCTCAGCTCCCCGTTCCCCGGGGATTTGGGGGGCTGCCGGGCGGGTGCGGGGGGTCACCGTGTGCCCCCCCCAGGCCATGTCCAAGCTGGGGCTGCGGCAGATCCACGGCGTCACCCGCATCACCATCCGCAAGTCCAAGAACATCCTCTTCGTCATCTCCAAACCCGACGTCTTCAAGAGCCCCGCCTCCGACATCTACATCGTTTTCGGGGAGGCCAAGGTGGGCTCGGGGGGCCGGGGGGGAGCCCCCGGCGCGGGGGGCCGCGGTGACCCCGGCCCGTGTCTCCCCAGATCGAGGACCTGTCGCAGCAGGTGCACAAGGCGGCGGCCGAGAAGTTCAAGGTGCCCCTGGAGCCCTCGGCGCTGGTGCCCGACGCCGCCCCGGCCCTGGCCATCAAGGAGGAGAGCGAGGAGGAGGAGGAGGTGAGGGCTGGGGGGTCCCGAGCCCCCCGGGGTGCCATGGGGGGGTCCCTGGCACCCAGGACTGGGTCTGTGCCATCTTGGGGGGGGTCTGTGCCATGGCGGGGGTCTCTGTGCCACCATGGGGGGGGTCTGGCACTCAGAGCTGGGTCTGTGCCACCTTGGGGGGGTCTGTGCCACCTTGTCCCACAGCCCTGTGCCCCCCCCCAGGTGGACGAGACGGGGCTGGAGGTGAGGGACATCGAGCTGGTGATGGCCCAGGCCAACGTGTCCCGGCCCAAGGCCGTGCGGGCCCTGCGGCACAACAACAACGACATCGTCAACGCCATCATGGTGAGCGGGGGGCCGTGAGACCCCTTCTCCTTTTCCAGGGGAACTGGGGCCGTGAGACCCCTTTTCTTTTTCCAGGGGAACTGGGGCCATGAGACCCCCTTTTCCAGGGGAACTGGGGCCGTGAGACCCCCTTTTCCCACTGGGAATTGGGGCTGTGACCCTCTCCCCACAATTTTCCTCCTGGGAATTGGGGCTGTGACCCTCTCCCCTTTTCCCACTGGGAATTGGGGCTGTGACCCTCTCCCCACACTTTTCCCCCTGGGAATTGGGGCTGTGACCCCTCTTCCCTTCTCTTTTCCCAGGGGGAATTGGGGCTGTGACCCATCTCCCTCCCCTTTTCCCCCTGGGAATTGGGGCTGTGACCCTCTCCCCTCCCTTTTCCCCCTGGGAATTGGGGCTGTGACCCCTCTCCCCACACTTTTCCCCCTGGGAATTGGGGCTGTGACCCTCTCCCCACACTTTTCCCCCTGGGAATTGGGGCTGTGACCCTCTCCCCACACTTTTCCCCCTGGGAATTGGGGCTGTGACCCCTCTCCCCACACTTTTCCCCCTGGGAATTGGGGCTGTGACCCTCTCCCTCCTTTTTCCCACTGGGAATTGGGGCTGTGACCCTCTCCCCTTTTCCCCCTGGGAATTTGGGCTGTGACCCTCTCCCCATCAGGAGCTGGGGGTGACCCCCAATTCCCTCTGCTCTCTCCCACAGGAACTGACCATGTAGCAGCCGGGGGTGTCCTGGCCCCCTGTATAGATGCACAGAGCCCCCCCAAATCCTTCCTGCTGCCCCCCATCCTCCTCCCGGCCCCCTGGACTGCTCAATAAAGGCCTCCTGCACCCCTTGGATCGCACCTCGCCTCCCAGGCCTGATTTTGGGAGCTTGGGGATCCCCTTTTCCAGCAGTGGGATGGGAGGGCAGCGCCCGGGGGTGTAACTGGGACGGGGGAGGTGGAAGGACAGGTTCTGGGGGAGTGGCAGCACCCCAGGGTGCTCCCCGCATCCTGGGGGATCAGGGATACCCCTCCCCTCCAGATTTGGGGTGTAGCACAGCCCTGGGGTGGGAATGAAGCCCCTGAGCTCCAAGGGCTGGGAAGAGAGGGAGCTCTTGGTCCCCAAATCCCAGGGGTGGCAGGGACCCTCTCCTGATCCCCATTTTCTTGGTGTTGGAAGGGGAAAGGCCCAGGTGAGTCCCCAGAGGTGCCTCAGCTCGTGGGACACCTCAATTCCAGAGGGAGGAGGGGTTGGGATACCCCTGGGAAAGGGGGGGGGGTCACCAGTGGGGTGACGGTGTGGGGGGACACCCCAGGGTGGTGGGCAGGGTGAAGGGGGCAGAGGGGGCTGCAGGCACCGGGGGGCTCTGGGGCCTCTGGAATGTGCTGGAACCCCAAAGTGCCGAGTCAGCATCTGGCTCCGGAGTGGGGGAGCAGCAGAGCCCCGGGGTGTGGCTGTGGGGTAACTGGGGACCCCAGCCAGGGAGGAGACCCCGGGGGATGCAGATAAAGGGGGGCTCTGGGGGTCCTGCCGAGCTCCTCTCCGCAGCAGGGCCCTGGGGAGAATCCCAGACTGGGGCAGCTGGAATGTTCAGGAATGCTCCAATACCATGGATGAGAGGGTGAAAAAATTCACATTGTGGTACAACTTCATTTGGGGGGGGAGGCGAGGGCAGTTCTGGGGGACCCGCTGTGCAAACTGTAAACTGGGGGGGAGCAGATCCAGCCCCTTGGGAACGGATCCCAACACTCAGGACATCCCTCAGGAGCAGATCTGCCCCCAAAATCCAAACCCAGGTCTGTCCCCCCAGCCCCAGCTGGAGCCCCTGGAGCTGGGAATGAGGCTGGGGCAGTGCAGACCCCCTTTCTGGAGCCCCCAGACCCCACAGGAGGGGTCTGGGAGCCCTCTGAGGGCGTCTCCATGTTCCAGGATCTCCGTGAGGGCACAGGTTGGTGGTGTTGGGCACCTCCAGAGTTCCCTTGGGGCAGATCCACGTTCCATGTCCCCCCGAGGGCAGCTCCGTGTCCTGGGATCAGCCTGGGATCAGCTCCATGCTCGGGGGGCAGCCCCAGGTGTTCCCCCAGGGCAGCTCCATGTCCCGGGGTCCCTCCAGGGCCAGCTCCATGTCCTGGGATCAGCTCCACACATGGGGGACAGCCCCAGGTGTCCCTCCAGGACCAGCTCCGTGTCCTAGGATCAGCTCCACGCTCGGGGGACAGCCCCAGGCATCCCCCCAGGGGCAGCTCTGTGTCCCGGGGTCCCTCCAGGGCCAGCTCCATGTCCTGGGATCAGCTCCACACATGGGGGGCAGCCCCAGGCGTCCCCCCAGGGGCAGCTCTGTGTCCTGGGGTCCCTCCAGGACCAGCTCCGTGTCCCGGGATCAGCTCCACGCTCGGGGGGCAGCCCCAGGCGTCCCCCCGGGGGCAGCCCCGGGAGCGGCTGCGGGGCCGGGCTCCGTCAGGACGAGTCCCGGTCCAGGCTGCAGCCCAGGGCCTCGATGTCGCTGCTGATGTGGGAGATCATCCGGTCCCACTCGTCCTCCTCCGAGGGCACGGACTGCTCGTCGGAGCTGCCGGCGGCGCCGGTGCCGTTGGAGGCGGAGGCGGCGCCCAGCGAGCGGCGGTAGCGGCCGAAGCTGTCCGTGATGATGCCGCGGCCGTCCTTCACCCCGATGGTCTCCAGGAAGTTCTCGAAGTGCTGGCTGTCCTTCTCGGGGATGAAGGGACGCAGGCCTGCAGCCGGGACGCGGCGGGGCCACGGTGAGTGCGGGGACCCGGGGCTCCTCACCCGGGGCTCCTCGCCCAGGGACCCGGGGCTCCTCACCCGGGGACCCGGGACTGCTCACCCAGGGACCCGGGACTGCTGACCCAGGGACCCGGGACTGCTGACCCAGGGACCCGGGGCTCCTCGCCCGGGGACCCGGGGCTCCTCGCCCAGGACCCAGGACTCCTTGCCCGGGGACCCAGGACTCCTCGCCCAGCCCGTTCCCGAGCTGTCCCACACAGCCCGGGAGCCTCTCTGTGCCCGTCACTCCCACCTGAGGCTGCAGCCGCTGCTCACCGAGGGCAAAACCCGGCTCAGGCGGGATTTTCTGAGCTCCCAAGCACCTAATCCCTCAGCCGGCATCTCGCTGGGCTTTGCTGAGCTTATCCCAGTGATCTGTCCCACCAGGGACATCTGTGCCGGCCCCTCGGTGCCCCAGGGGGAGGGGGACTGCAGGAGACACTGCTCCTGCTCTGTGGGCACTGGGACTTGCTGACCCCTTCTCCTTGGCTGTCACACTGCTCCTGTCCTGGGAGGATTTTGTGCTCCTGACCCGTTTTCCCAGGATATCGGAGGCCAGCTTGGTTAAATACCCCTGGTCTGGAGGAGGTTTCCTGGCCTGGAGATTTCCAGTTCTGAATTAAATTCCCTGGCTCTGGAGGGGGTTTCTAGGTCTGGGAGAGAGTCTGAGGTCTGGAGGAGGCTCCCAGGCGCTTCACAGGCAG